CACCTAGCTCTATACTCCACTGTATCCTACTGTAAACACACCCTTCCCAAGTCTCTTGTCTTTTTCCTCTTTCTTAAAGATATCAACCGTCAATCTCAGAAAAGCTGCATGCTTGCTAGCCACGACACTAACCTGCATCAGCTACTTCCTGATCGCTACGCTAATCTGTCTTTTAACGGCATCTGTCTCCGTCTCCCTCGCACACCACTCACGAAGACACTGTACTGCCCCTACTAGGATTAATTGATCATCAATTTAGTCCCTAATTTGGACCAAGTCAGGTGGCAAATGGGCCACTTTTGCTTGATTGTTAGTGAAAACGTAGAGCGAGTACATTGATAAATTTTGATTATTTATCAATTATGGCCAAATGAACTAAATGCACTGAATAAATTCGCGGCCTGATTGCCGTAATGGAGTTTGAAAATATCACTATTGATAATGATTCTAGCTAATAGCTGCTTTCCGTCTGCGGCCTGCTCGCTTGTCGGGGACGACATGGCATTGCGGAATTCATTTTTCATAAAATCAGCCGTGTATGTGTGTGTGTTAGACAGAGAAAGAGAGAGAGAGCAGGAGACACTTCTCCATTAATCAAACATACTGCCAGATTCGTCTCCGTCTGCGACAATATGTCATATTTTACGTCAATTACGCCGGTTTTAACAGGCTTCAATCACGACGCCCTGGTGCAATTCTCAACATATGCTCAAAGTAAGGCTTTCTCTGACATGCACGCAAAAATGAGACCACAGTAAAAGGAGAGGGGGTGCAACCACCGAGGAAGCCGGAGGGGTGGAAAGATCGGGGTGTAGCATAATTCTAATAAAAGTGAGAGACAGGCTAATGAAAAAGTGTCATGCTGATGTTAATTTCTTGTTTCTGCAGGGTGATGTGGGAGCTGCTTATAGCAGGGGCGGAGCTGGGCAGCTGTAAATGGGGCTGCCAGGGCTGCTTCCTTCAGCTTAATGGAAAAAGCATCTCTCTGGAAAATAGAGAAAAGAATTAGACTCGACACACACATTCTCTCCCCTCTAATACTGTATTTTTGAGGCGGCAGGCTGGCGACGAGACCCGGTGACAAAAGCAAATTACGTCTGTCATTTTATTAAGTGCATCCGCTGAGCTAGGCCAGAAAACACTGACTGGAATACATCACCAAAAAGAAGAAGAAAAGAATAGGGTAGAAGGGAGACGGTGGAAGACGGAGAAGACAACAAGATGTGGGATTGGCAGGCAGTTCGTTTAGATCAACACCATCCCATTTCAAAGCAAAGATGAAGAGAAAATTCTGTAAAAATAGCTAATCTATTTCTTTAATTTCTTTACAGGACAAAAATTATGATATTTTGCAAGATATTTTGGACTAAATGCTTCAAATTGAGCAGAGAACACTATTGAGTTGGCATGAGATCTTGACCACTTCATAGGGCATTTCAGGAATTCCCTGGAGGTGTTTGAAGACGTGAAGTTCAGGGATGTAGCAGTATGAGAGGAGCTTGACCTGAAAGTGTAATTAACTGACATTACAAGCACCCACATGTACTACAGCACCAGGTCTTACAGCATGTTTACACGTCACCTCAGAATAACTCTTCATAGCCCAGCATCACCAAACAGGGCAAGAACAACAAACGTCATTGGTGGAAAGGATGACCACTTTACAATATGTGATTTAAAACTGTCTAGCAGCATCAATATTTGCACAACAGTGTGGTCTGAATCGGAAATACAAAACGTTCATAGAAAATAGCAGTGCCAGAAACACTGGAGTAATCATGATAAAAAAATGCCACTTAATTTATATTGCAAAATTACCACATTGTAAAAATATCCTGGTGAGTTTACTATAAAAAAAAAACAACAGCTCTGGTTGCCAGAAATTCACCTTAAAAATGCATTGACAGTGTTTAAGTTATTACACAATGTCAGCATATTTCTAAATCGGTGTTGTACCTTAAAATGTACTGGTTACCACCATAATACAAGTAGTAAAATAAAAAAACCACATGATAAACTTCATGTAAAATATGTGAAAGCATAAAATAATGCAATAAACATTAACAAAATAACAGAAAATGTAACAAATACAAACAACCTAAATGTACATTACTGATACAAAAAAATAAGAAGAAACTAAAATATTTAAATAAAATATCATATTTGATTTGCCACACAGGCACTTCTGGGAATGTCCTTATACGATTTAACGAGAGGACAAGACTTGTGCTACTTGACCATACAGAAAAAAAATGAACACCCATGGACCCAGAGCAGGTGAAGATATAAACTGAAGCTAGTGCAAACATACAAACAGACTTAAAATGAGTAAACCATGAGACCATCAAGCAGCCCACACCTCACAGGTCTGACAAATGAAGAAATGCAATTCAGCAATACAGCGTTCAAAGGTGGACAAAATCAATTATCTGACCTGGAGTCAAGAAGGCCCAGTCTGAGTGAACCACAGAGGCCTGTGGGGAGAGAATCCGGAGACAAATCTATAGAACCTAAAGACTCAGCTGAAAGAAAACAAAGCAACTCGCACTGCTCTAATCGATACGAAGGCTGGACCGTCCACATAGAGGGCAAAAAACAGATGGGAAATCCAGAAGAAACATGTCTGAGAGACACGAACAATGTGTCTGTCGTTGCTGGGCCTGACAGCGGGAATGTTCCATCATAAAACCATCAATCGACACCAACAGTGCCCATGCAATGAGCTAAATTCAACAGAAATAAATTCAGACACCTAGAAGTGATTGGTCCCTCATGTGAACATCAGCTGAGTTTGACAGGCCAAGCGTTCAGTTCTTATCGTGGCGCGGCTTATTACGATGTTGTCTCCTGTGTTGGCATGGTGTGCAAGTTGTTTCCTAACCCTCTCTCCTTCTCAATCCCACTGAGAATCATTCCCACACTTCCATTACCAGCCCTATCAAACAGGCCCATCTCAATCAGGCCCTCATCTGGTCAATCAATGCAAACAGCAGTCAGGTGGGGATTAAGAAGAGAAAAGGAGGGGTGAGGAGAGGATGAGGCAAGATCTGAGACACTCGCAGAACACAAATGACCAACTTTAATACCAGTCTAACATTCGTTAAGCGCTTCTAAGATCCTGGTCTTACTGGAGACTGTCAGTTGTACAAACCAAATATAATCAATGTCAATGAGATCATATGTAGGTCACAGGTCATATCTGATGCTATAAAGTTTGTACATTCATGCTAAATTCAAAAATAAAGAAATAAACCCAAAATATGTATTTATGTATGCATGCGCTTTGAATACACCCGGTATCCTAGTTTTCCTCATCTACTTTGTACTTAGGGCTGCACGATAAATCGCATGTGATTGTCATGCGCATCTAGTCAGTAAAGCCGGTTCTGTGATTAATAGTAAATCTCCATCACATGCTTTCAGATGGATACACAGAGCCGTAGATCACTGACAAGCTATGCAATATGGTGTTCATAATCGCAGATGAGTCGCATTTGATTATGAACGCCATATTGCATAGCTTGTCAGTGTAAGTGTTTTTATTAATGCCATTTATGTTTTTGTTAATACAGTGTATAGCACTAGTCAACTAAATGAATGTAACATGGCAAAGATGTAAGGGAAATGTCATTTTGGAATTTCTGTGGTCTAATGTGATATTGTTGTTCATGTTCTTGTTCATGATGAAATTTTCTTTTATTGCTGTAAATAATTTATAGCATTAACAAGATGACCCGCTGTATTCATTTTGGGAGCGATGACTGATTTAATGTATTTTTATTCCATTGCCTGTATATAAGATTAGTATTGACCAAGTTCAGAGGCTGTCATATGTGGATTAACCATGTTGTGTATTTTCAGCAGTTTCAATATGAAAAATAACTTTTATACTGATTCAATGGATTTATTGCATTTTTGAAAAAAAATAAAATAAAAATAAGTGTCATGGATTGACATGTAATATACATAATATATAAAATAATAACATTTTATAATAAATCTTTGAAAATCTAAATCTGGATTTGAATTTATGTTATTATAACGTAAAGATGCTATGTGAAAGTTTGAAACAGAAAATATGGTTTTCATTTTGCCAATTTCTTGGTAAAGAAAACATTTTTACTCAAATTAATGAAAATTTATAGTGTTTTGGAACCAAACTTTTCATATATATATATATGATGACATTAAAAAACTCTATTTAAGGATCACAGTGCAGTCCCAAATCATCATTCATTATAATCTTAAATCTTTACAAATCTCTGCCATGATCCTTCAATCCACTAGTTAACAATATGTCAGCAAGAACTTTTTAATAATTTAAAATATAATAAAATTTAGTATGATCACTTATTCTTTTATATATTTTGATAAATACAGGTCAAATTAAGCATGTTGTTTTAAATATATTTGTTACACTGAATGACAATGGAACATTATTTCATTTCGTATTTTGACATTTTATTTCCACAAAAGTTAGAAACAGTAGATGCTAGCATTTAATATATTTATATAAAACCCTCTTATGTAAATGTTATTTGATGTGTACACCAAAATGGGACGTCTAGTGTTTGACCCACCCACACACACACACACACACACACACACACACACACACACACACAATATATATACATTAAACTAACGTATATATAAATATTCTGTACTACACACACACACACATACATAAGTCAATAACAACACACTTATTAAATAATCAATAATTACAACTAAACAAATCAGATCAGATTACGTAATTCTTGATCATCTTTAATTATAGTCCTGACAAACACATCTGCTGCTTGACAGAGTATAAAAATATATATTGCATGTGGCATCAACACAGCCTCAAATTCTTCATTCAACCCCTTATTTCTGTCTAATTTTGTTGGACTCGTAAACAAATATAAATGAACAAATAACACTTATGAGTTGTATAACATCAGCTTTCAAGCACTGAAAGTGACTGGGGTATTCAGCATCTGGACAATGCTACAGCAGCTGTCAGAGCACCGGGCTGTATTTACAGCTTCCGCCTAATGAGGACACTCAGCTGCGGCGTATGCCCCTGGAGGAGCGCGGTGAATCCGCGGCCTTATTCTGCTGACATTAATACACTTAAAGGATAAGATTACTCAGTCTTCTTACCGTTTAACCACACCGGTCTTGATTTTTATTTGCTTTTAAAATGTGATTTATGCAATAACGTCTAAATTAACTAGTTTTTTTTAGTGAAAGTGACCTGACATGTGGCCAAGTATGGTGACCCATACTCGGAATTAGTGCTCTGCATTTATCCCATCCTAAGTGCACACACACACACACACACACACAGTGAACACACACCCGGAGCAGTTGTTTCATTCAAAGTCAAAAATAGTATTTAATATGAAACAAATCTAAGGTCAAAGGTCAGGTAGAAATAGCTTCCTGAAATACAACTGCACATTGTCAGTTCTTTAGTACAGATTTAGTCTAGATAGCAGATATTATTCACTGGCCAAGAGCTAAAATGGTGTTCAGACTCTTTGATCAGAGGGGAATGGTGAATTAAATGCAATCCAATACACTGAAAATTTCCACAAAGCTGCTGCAATTGAGCTGTATACTCACCATTGATATTGTTTACCGCAATAATCATTTACTGCGATTCCAGCTTCTACGCCGTTCATTCACAAATTACCGTGCTTAATAGGAAACCAAACCATCGGGCTTCTGAATTCCCAGCATTTTATGTTCGCTTTTATCGCTTGGACACTTTTTACAAGTGACCAGAGGAAAATAATTGCGGGCTTATTAGATGATTTCTCTTTAATGAAATAAATAAATAAAATAAACCGTCATTAACTCCGGTTCCAGGAGGTTAGAAGGAGAGAAAAAATACTTATTCATTCGCACTGCTACCGGAACGACCTAATGATGTAGGATTTCAGATTTGTCACGCTTTAATGTGATTCATTATATCTAAAAGTGACTTCAAAAAGCCTAGATATCACCTTGTCTAATACATTTTTCTTCCCCGCTGACACCCTGATAAGGGGCCACCCGTGCTCCGGTCTGAGATGACAGCCGTTATTATCATCCGGCCCTCATGCACACGCTCCTAAAACTAGCCCCCGAGCTGAAAGTTAGCATAAAAAAGAGCCGTTTTTCTTGCTTTCCCTCTTCTTCTTTCTCTGACTCGTTGATTATTGGTATTTTCCTAGTTTTCCAAACTAATAAGTGGCACTATCAAGCATTTGGAAGCGCCCAGAGAGCCGCAGACAAGCTGCTGGGCCTAATTGATATTGAGCGAGTCGCGGGTAGGCTGAACGGGGCCACTGCTGGCTAATTTGCAGTTTAATCAGCGTCAGTAATGAGAGCGGCTGATTAGCGCTGCCTGGAAATAAAAGAGAGTTACAAGGAACGTCTGTCAGAGTCCGGTGATAATTCAGGACTAATTGTGGTGATTAGAGCAAACTGGATGACTTTGGAGTTTTCAAAAGCAGTGTGTGTGTGTGTGTGTGTGTGTGTGTGTGTGTGAACTCCAGTTGCTTTCAACAAAGCCCCCCTTTCTAATATTCAATTAAACATTTAATAATGTAAATCAGTGTTCAAAAGCATGAAGAATGTCTGTCATACCAGACAGTATATTTGATCACATAAACCCAATAGTTGCTAATTCATTTACTGATGTACTCGCTCTTCCCTGCGTTTGGATTCGAATTAGCCTATACATAAAACAAAGCAGCGATGTGCATCTGGTTCCGTACCCTTCGTATTGATAAAATGTGCACTACAAAAGACTAAACTATCATGCACAAGCATCACCATCTTGAGGTGGTAGTAGAAGTATATGTGAAAATATGAAGGGTTTACAAGATTAAAAACAGGATTTTAACTTCTAATTTATGATTTGATTTGTATTAATGCTAATGCATGTTAAATTACAGAACTGGTATCTTTTGAATCAGCAGGTTCTTGGTTAGTTTGATATGTAATATTACTGTTTATCATCTACAAGGAAAAAAATATACATATCAAGACTAGGCATATCTGATATTCATTTACTGATGTACTCGCTCTTCCCCGCGTTTGGATTCGAATTAGCCTATACATAAAACAAAGCAGCGATGTGCATCTGGTTCCGAACACCACCGCTGGCACTCTTTTATACCCTTCGTATTGATAAAATGTGCACTACAAAAGACTAAACTATCATGCACAAGCATCACCATCTTGAGGTGGTAGTAGAAGTATATGTGAAAATATGAAGGGTTTACAAGATTAAAAACAGGATTTTAACCGTTGCTTTCAACAAAGCCCCCCTTTCTAATATTCAATTAAACATTTAATAATGTAAATCAGTGTTCAAAAGCATGAAGAATGTCTGTCATACCAGACAGTATATTTGATCACATAAACCCAATAGTTGCTAATTCATTTACTGATGTACTCGCTCTTCCCTGCGTTTGGATTCGAATTAGCCTATACATAAAACAAAGCAGCGATGTGCATCTGGTTCCGTACCCTTCGTATTGATAAAATGTGCACTACAAAAGACTAAACTATCATGCACAAGCATCACCATCTTGAGGTGGTAGTAGAAGTATATGTGAAAATATGAAGGGTTTACAAGATTAAAAACAGGATTTTAACTTCTAATTTATGATTTGATTTGTATTAATGCTAATGCATGTTAAATTGCAGAACTGGTATCTTTTGAATCAGCAGGTTCTTGGTTAGTTTGATATGTAATATTACTGTTTATCATCTACAAGGAAAAAAATATACATATCAAGACTAGGCATATCTGATAACAGATCACTATAAATTGTAACGTAGACACATGCATTTACTGTAAAGCTGCTTTGAAACCATGTGTATTGTGAAAAGAGCTATACAAATACATTTGAATTGAATTAAGCAGACGGCAAAGGTTGTAATGCCACCTTTTTCATTTTCCCTATATACTTACTACTAAATCCATAAAAAATTAACAAAATGTGACAAAATGTGTGTGTGAGCCACATTGAAGATTTATGTATTATTTGTTTCTAACTTTATTTTCATTAAAATGCTTGGGATATTTTTTCTAAACAAGTAATGTTAATTATATAAAATTATGCATATTTACAAATGAAAATATTCTAATACTTATGATCAATGTGTCCTTGTTGAATAAAGGTAAAAAAAAAAAAATTCTTACTGAGTACAACTGTATTTGATAATACATTGATAACACTGATAATAAGAAATATTTCCTGAGCAACAAATCAGCATTAGAATAAAATCATTGTACATGACACTAATTTGCACATATGATTTTTTTGTTGCAATTTTTCTATTCTAAAAAAAAAAAAAAAAAGGGAATTTTCTTTGTAAAATATGTGTGTGTGTGTGTGTGTATGGCACAAAATTGAGTCTGAATCTTAGAGGCCTAATTATCAAACAAAGCTGCTAATTTCCATCTTTTTTTTTTTTTTATGTTTCTTGATCAGCAAATCAGCATATGAGAATGATTTCTGAAGGATCATGCTTTGCATCACAGGAATAAATTAAGTATTAAAATATAATAGAAGAAAGTTTTAAATTGTAATATTTCACAATGGTCAAAATAATGCAGATTTCTTTCAAAAACATTTAAAAAATCTTTATTCCAAACTTTTGACTTGTAAATCAGTGTGTAAATAAGCAACATGTGCAGCACTGGGGTCCTACAGAAGCACGAGTGGGCTTTAGTGGGTTGTCTATGTCATGCTGGTGTGATCTGGTTCATTGTTTTACTTAATAAACCCGAGCGGAGGGCTGGATATACCATGCTTTTATTCTTATTGTCCCGTATGACCCCGAGTCTTTTACTGTGTAAGCTGCTGCCGGGCGGATCGATAATCCTCCCGGGGTTTATCCATACGTGCTATTCTAATGTCAGAGAGCAGGCCCCAATTGATAATGATAAATATTTTGCCGGAAGATTAGGTGAAGGGAGCGTGTCGTGGAGGAGCTCTATATTCCAGCCCCGCTAACCTCTGGCTCCGCGCGGCGAATCGGGATTCATCCATCCGAGTGTCAATGGCTGTCTTGTTGAGAGCATCAGTGAGTAAACACGGTGGACGGGGACGGCGCACCAGCTCTCGACAGAGACCCCCAACGGACGCCCCCCTCCCATCCTCCGTCCTGCTGTTCCCACTTTGTCCTCCATCAATCACCGCCATTGTGTCCTGGATGTTAGATAGAGTCACTTAATATCCTCTTCTTCATCTGTCCGCTCCGGCGGCACATGATGCGCCTGCGAGAGCCGAAGGACACTGTGTACGGATGGGGGACGGGGAGCCAGGGACTGGTACCCTAAATGTGTGTGTGTGTAAGAGAGAGAGAGAGCGAGAGAATCCAAACATAACCTGCTGTAAACCAGACAAATAAAATAAGACCAGACATATGCATGTTTTTGTTTTACACGCTCAAAAATAATAATAATAAAAAAGGTTCTCCATGTTTCACTGTATAACATTCTTGAGTTGCTTTATGGTTCTTTGGAGAATATAGAATTTTACAAATAAAAAAAAATAAATAATAATAAACGAATACAATTGTAAAAAGGTTAGCGAGAGAATCCAAACATAACCTGCGGTAAACCAGACAAATAAAATAAGACCAGACATATGCATGTTTTTGTTTTACACGCTCAAAAATAATAATAATAAAAAAGGTTCTCCATGTTTCACTGTATAACATTCTTGAGTTGCTTTATGGTTCTTTGGAGAATATAGAATTTTACAAATAAAAAAAAATAAATAATAATAAACGAATACAATTGTAAAAAGGTTCATAAATAATAATAATAATAGTTGCAAGTAAAAAAATAAGCCCACTCATGGACAAATTAAAACATAAAATGCTATAATAATAATAATAATAATAATAAATGTTTATTTTATATAGTACCTTTCTACAAACTCAATTTATGTTTACAATAAAAAAAAGCATTTTATAAATAAATTAATAAATATAAAATTCTAACAATAAAAATGAATCAAATTGTAAAAAAGGTTGTTAAATAATAATAATAATAATGTCACATTTTTAATTGTAAGTAAATTAAATTGTATTATGCGAATATACAAATATTTTGGGACTCTAAATAATACCTAAAAGGCAATAATAATAATGTTGATGATGATATTTTTTTAATTTTATATAGTGCCTTTCTACAAACTCAGTCAGACATTTATTAACTCAAATTGGACATTTATAGTCCACAAAGATCAAGCTTATACGTTTATTTACCTGCAATTTAAAAATGCATGCAATGCAATAAATGCAAAAGACCTGTAAGATCCGCTAAGGCATGCTTTGTAAATGTATTAATTTAGCTATATAAATGCATTATTTGTTGAGTTAATTGTCTGCAGTTGATTTAAACAGCCTGCTGGGTTTTTTTTCTTAAAAATATAAAAGTAAAAATAAAAGATGTAGTCTTAATAGTTTCAATTTACAGGTATTTAAAAACTGTGCAAAAGAAATGCAAATAAAGAAATAAATCAGCAGTTTGTGTAGGATTGCAACACAGACCTGACTCGACTTGAGGTTTCCCGCTGTGCCTCAATATTGACTCTTACAATTAGCATCAATATCAGAGCCATTAGTGACCATATTATTGTGGGATTGAAATCAAAGTGAATTCATAATGACTACAGCGAACAGCACGACACGGTTAAAGGGCGGAGCGATTTGAAAAATAGCCCTTTCATTTCATAAAGCCTTCTCAACAAATAATAAATTGACCTCTTAATAAATGGTGCAATGTTCAAACCTTGAGCAGCCGCTTAACTAATTAGGATTAAATTCCAGTATATTAGAACGCCCTAATTTGTCAATTAAAAAATGCTTAGCGACCATGGCATTGAATTAAGCATTAGACATATCTGAGGACCTCCCTATCTCCATGCATTCCCTTGTAAAAAATGACAAAGAAAAAAACTTCTTGTGGCATTAATTGTTTCTTAATTATGCATATACTGGCTCTAAAATATAGGTTTTCACTAAAGGCAAATTCACTGCACAATTTTTAATAAATGAAGATATTGTGTGTGAAAAGAAACGGTGTCATACATGTTCCCAGACCTCATCAGCGTGATTTATGGAGTTAAACAGTCACCTCTGAATGATGGTCTTTCATGTGCCCTCCTGTTTAAAATGGAGACATCACCTATCCCGGCCCAGTATTTATTTATGGAAGATTTTTTGACAAATAGGCAGCGCTGCCACGCGTGGATGGCCGTCCTCATTCCGCGCACGGCTTGTTTACAGCACCAACACCATTTCCACGGATTAAACAAATCACACACACATAGACCTAGAACAGGTGAGCAAGATAAACGGCCTTTTCCACAGATGACCTTCCTGGCCTTTAGGTAACATGAAGACGCAGAGTTTTAGAGTAAACAAAGTATTTTACCCTTTTTAAATATTTCTATTAAAAATATTTTTATGTTTTATTATTTTGAATGATGATGATGATAATCTTAATCATCATAATCATAATCTGATATGAATGACATACTGTATTAATATTTTTTGTATAAAAAAAAGATTAATATGCAATGTTACTTATGTGTAGGCCTTTAAAAATATTTTTATTAAAAAGAAAATGTTTTTTGTTTTATTTTGAATAATAATAATCTTCACATTATTCTTATTATATGAATGACATACTATATGAATATTTTGTAGAAAAATGTTAATATTATTCAATGTTACTTATGCATCAACCACTGTCATGACGTAAAAATATAAATATTCCTAAAATAGGCTGTTTTAATAATAATATATTATAATAATATATTCTTCATATTATTATTGTTAATGACATACTAAATTCATATTTTTGTTCAAAAAATCTATATGCAACGTTACTTATGCATTAAACACTATTATATATATACACACAGTCGTGGTCAGAATTATTGGCACCCTTGGTAAATATGATCAAAGAAGGCTGTGAAAATAAATCTGCATTAATCATTTTGATCTTTTATTAAAAAAAATTCACATAAATCTAACCTTTTATTGGAGAATAAGAATTTGAAATGGGGGGAAATATCATTATGACATAAATGTTTTTCTCTAATATACATTGGACACAATTAACGGCACCCTTGTATTCACAGCTTTTTGAAACCTCCATTTGGCATAATAACAGCTCTGAGTTTTCTCCTATAATGCCTGATGAGGTTAGAGAACACCTGACAAGAGATCAGAGACCATTCCTTCATCCAGAATCTCTCCAGACCCTTCAGATTCCCAGCTCCATGATGCTGATCCTCTTCAGTTCAGCACACTCATTTTCTACAGGGTTCAGGTCAGAGGACTGGAATGGCTTTAGCAGAAGTTTGGTTTTGTGCTCAGTGACCCATTTTTGTGTTGTTTTTAAGGTTTGTTTTTGGATTATTGTCCGGTTGGAAGATCCAAACATGGCCCATTATAAGATTTCTAACAGAGTCAGTCACTTATTGATTTTTTTATCTGTTGGTATTTGATAGAATCAAAGATGCCATGTATATAAACAAGATGTCCAGGACCTCCAGCAGAAATATAGGCCCACAACATCAAAAATACAGCAGTATATTTCATTGTACACATGGGGTACTTTTATCCCTGTGTGCACCAAACCTATCTTGAGTGTTTGCTGCTAAAAAGCAAATTTTTTTGCTACATCTGACCATAGAAGCCAGTCCCATTTGAAGTTCCAGTCGTGTCTGACAACAGAATATGCTGGGGATTGTTTTTGGATGAGAGCATTTTCTTTTCTTGATTTTCATGTTCTCTCAAACAACATGTGGTGTAGGTGCTGTTTGATTTTTTTTTTTTTAGGTTTTCTGATCCTGAGACTCAACTATTTTCTGCAATTCTCCAGCTGTGGTCCTTGGAGAGTCTTTAGCCTCTCAAACTGTCCTCCTCACCGTGCATTAGGATGATATAGACACGCATCTTCTTCCAGGCAGATTTGTAACATTTTCTGTTGATTGGAAATTCTTAATTATTGCCCTGATGGTGGAAATGGGAATTTTCACTGCTCTAGCTCTTTTCTTAAAGTCACTTTCTAATTTGTGAAGCTCAATTATCTTTTGCTGCACATCAGAAATATATTTGGTTTTTCTCATTGTGATGGATGATTAAGGGAATTTGGCCTTTGTTTCCCCTTCTGTTTATATTCCTGTGAAACAGGAAGCCATGGCTGGATACTTTCATGTTCATAATCATGAATATACTTCACAGATATTTTACTCATAAGAATTTCTAGGGGTGCCAATAATTGTGTCCAACGTGTATTTGAGAAAAACATTTCATAATGAGATTTTCCCCCATTTTCAATTGTTTTAGTTCAATAAAAGTTAGATATTTGTGATTTGTTTTTAAATAAAAGATCAAAATGATTAACAATGCAGATTTATTTTCACAGTCTTCTTTGATCATATTTACCAAGGGTGCTAATAATTCTGACCATGACTGTACATCTATTAAAATGTGTGTGTGTGTATAGCTGCACTTCACATCATATTGTTATTGTATAGACGACATATTATACAAATATTTTTGCAAAACAAAATATATGCATGTGTGTGTATATATATATATATATATATATATAATATATGTATAAATATAAATATGCCCAAAAACTCAGTGGCACTCAGGAGAATATATTTTGCCTTTTATAATAATAATAATAATATTTTAATATGAATGACATTCTATAGGAATATTTTAGTAAAAAATTAACCAATAAAACCAATAGATAAGTATCAACCAATAGTATGATACGTATGTATCGACTATCATCGTGTAAAAATATAAATATATGTGACCCTGGACCACAAAACCAGTCATAAGGGTCAATTTTTCGAAATTGAGATTTATACACCGTTTGAGCTTTCCATTGATGTACGGTTTGTTAGGATATGGCAATATTTGGCTGAGATACAACTATTTGAAAATCTGGAATCTGAGGGTGCAAAAAAATCAAAATACTGAGAAAATCACCTTTAAAGTTGTCCAAATGAAGTTCTTAGCAATGCATATTACTAATCAAAAATTAAGTTTTAATATATTTACGGTAGGAAATTTACAAAATATCTTCATGGAACATGATCTTTTCTTAATATCCTATTGTTTTTTGGCATAAAAGAAAAATCTATAATTTTGACCCATACAA